TATACTTTGACTTCTCGTGCATGTAAACCATGTTTATCCAACCGATAACCAAGATAGTCAACTGAATCAACCATAAAAGCCCATTTGGAGCTTTTCAAACGTAAACCGTGTTCAGCCAGCCTATGTAACACATGGTCCCACTTGCGCAGATGTTCCGCTTCTGTGCGACCCGTAATTAGCAGATCATCAAGGTATGCACAAGTGTTCGGTGTGTAACGGTCGATGTTGTCAATTACTCTTTGAAAGATAGCCGGGGCTGAATTAATTCTGAAAGGAAGTCTGGTGTATGGAAATAAGCCTAAATGTGTACTGACCTTAGTAAGATGACGAGAGGCCTTATCTAATTCCAATTGAGATTAAGCATGGCACAAATCCAGTTTAGTAAACTTGACCCCACCCGATAAAGTGGCGTATAAATCCTCGATTTTTTGGTAGTGGGTACCGGTCTATGATTGCACCGTGATTTATTGTTAGTTTGTAATCGCCACAAATCCGTACGCTACCGCCGGGTTTAAGCACAGGTAATATAGATGCCGCTCATTCAGCTTGCTAATCTGGCACGATTATATCTTCTCACTGGAGCCTTTTTAACTTTTCCTCCACCTTGAGCGGTAAGGAGTAAGGCAGCGTTCTGGCCTTAAAGTATTTCGGCGTACTGGAGTCCACCATATGAATCCTTGCTTTAAAATGGTTCAGTTTTCTCAAATGATGTTCGCTGAACACGTCTGGATATGGCATAAGAACCGTGCCCACGATGCCCTCCCCACGGCATGAATGGTATTAAATATTTCTGACAATTGTTTTATCTAGTCCCGACCCAATAGTTTGACTGAAGCATGAGGCACAACATGAAGGACTAGGTTGTGTGGTCTAACCTGGTCTTTAACTAGTACCTGATACTTTCCGAGGAGGTCCATCATTTCTGCTGCATAGGGTTTGAAAACGGTATCAATCCGTTCCAGGTTAGGCAATGATAGGAGCGCGCTTCTGCCAGTCAATATCATAGCGGAAC